CTGCCTCAAGACAGCATGGTGCCCATCACCTTCAAGATGGTTGTTCCAAGAACGTTCTGCGGCCCATTACCCTCCCGTCCCTATCATCGAAACTTCTGGCTCTCTCACCCACCCACGGTATTTATTGGTACCCCCACCTATTTATTGAAAACCTCACAAAACCAGTGCCACCCTACGCACATGCTTTTGCATAGGCATTAGGAATTGGATGAGCCCATTGGGCAATATTAGTATTGGGATAAAACCTAATATAATCCTATTTGACACTGCGCCAGCCGTGCAGTTCCTTATTTGCCACCTCGACCAAAGTACCACTGTTCTTGTTAGCCAATGGTTTCTACCCGTGCAACCACTACCAACTCTACCGTCGCCGCCTCTGCCATGGCGTCCCGTCATCGCCCCCTATTGGAGGGAGATGATGGGACCAAATCAACGTCGAGTATCGTCCTTGGTTGCCTCTGCCATGGCAGGGATGGCATCTCGTCTTTCCGCCGGAAACGGCGCCGATTCCCATGCTCATTCGGATGAAAACGGTGTCGATCCCCATCAACATTCGGATCGAAACCGTCATCCGGATGAGGATGACCATGGCATGGACTGCCATGATGACGGTCTGGATGGTCCTATCCAGCACTCGATCGCTTCTGCCGTGACACCTCTGCCGCGCACTGCCCCTACGGAATCCACGGACTCCCATCCCTTGCGTGTGCTTTCGTCTTCTGACTCTCCCATGGCAACTCTGCCATCTCGTCCTCTCACCGAGGGCGAGGTCACCTCCCATGCTGCTCGTGATCATGGCCACGACGATCATCCCATGGACCCCATCGATGGCGCCTCTGCCGGGTCCTCCCGTACCACCGCCTCTGCCGTGGAAAATCGTCACCGACGCGCCCCTGCCGACGCCACTGCCTCTCGTCCTGTGCATGCATCGTCCTCATCAACCTCTCCCATGGCCGCTATGCCATCTCGCCCTCTCTTCGAGGTCGAGGTCACCTCCCATGCTGCTCGTGATCTTGACCATGTTGATCATCCCATGGAGTCCGTCGATGGCGCCTCTGCCGGGGCTTCCCGTACCACCGCCTCTGCCGTGGAAAATCGTCATCGACGCGCCCCTGCCGATGTCACTGCCTCTCGTCCTGTGCATGCATTGTCCTCGCCAACCTCTCCCATGGTTGCTCTGCCATCTCGTCCTGTGCATGCATCGTCCTCGACAACCTCTTCCTTGGCTGCTCTGCCATCTCGTCCTCGTGTTGTGGACGGCCTTGATGTCCAAGTTCCGATTGTCGTCGCATTGGAATGTGTTGATGCCCGCCCGGCGCCCCCAACCGCTACTTCCCATCGTTCCCGACGTGCAGCAGCGGACGCCCAAGGCCACGACGTGTCATCGGCAGCCGCGAACCCATCCAGCCCCGGCGGCGACCCATCATCCCGCCACAAGGCCAAGCAACCACCTCGACCAACCGACAAGACATCCCCCATCACCGACGACCCATGGGGCCGTTTCGCCGCGGAACGTGCTGCTGCCGCAAAGGCGCCTCGAACCAAGGACGTTGGAGCCCACCGACCTTCCATGGCCGATCTGCGTCCGCTTTTGGCCAAGCATGCCGCCGGTCAACTGACTTTCCACGATACTCTGCCGATCCAAGGCCACGACAAGCGCGAAGTCATCGGCTGGCTGCACATGGCCACCGGCCAACTCACCAAGTCCCTCAACGAAGACGCCATGATGTCGTCCCTCCTCCACGACAACCAATCCACCGTCGACGGCGCCATCCTCGTGGACGTGATCAAGTGCGAGCGCGACCTGAAGAACCGCGTTGTGCGCTGGGGCGTCGCCAGCATGACTGCCCTCAATCGACTCGAAGGCGTGACCATGAAGCTGCGTATCAATCGTGCGGGCGCAAAGGGCGCCACCACCACCTTCGAGTCATTTTCAATGGACCTCCCCCACGCGTTGGATGGGTTTTACCTCGACATCCCCAATGGCCTCCAAGGGCAACTCGACGAACGACTGCTGTTTGAGGCCATGTCGCGTTTGGAACCGCGCTTCCTTTGGGGCTCATACACCAGCGTGTCTGCCACGACTGGCCTTGCTGGGTCCCGGTACCGTCTGCACTTTCTGGGCTCTGATATTCCATCGTCCATGCTTGTGGGCGATCGAATGGTCGAAGAATTCGTGCTTCGCGGCCGCTGCCTTCGCGCGTATGGCCGTGGATGGTTCTTCCGCGACCACCAACTTGCCCGGATCAACCTCGACGGCCCAACACCACCGACCAACCCCCCTCGTGTGATGCAACCGGCAGAATCCTCCGTCTCCAAGACATCCCAACCCAAGGCAGCCAAGAAACAAAAGGCCGCCACGCGCGACACCACCGAATTTACCGAAGTTCGACGTAAAAAGGTCCCCCGCAGCTCGAACACTCAACCCCACCCACCACAAGGCCTTGTTGGACGTCCATGGACATCCCCCAACGCATTTGAAGCCCTCGCAGAGCGATGGACCGTCGGCTACACGTATCATGCGCTCTCGGACGACGACGTCAGCTCGACCACCATTATTCCCGCGCCCGAAGCCCACGTCGCGGACCTGCATCATGACACCGCAGGTGAGTTTGTCACTTGCATGACCATTGATGCTGGGACCCCAACGGCAACCGTGGTCCCCCTCGACGACCTTCTTGCTGAACTGGCAGTTCTGGACGCTGCCTCGCACCTCGCCGTGTCGGCCCACCAGGCTGAAGTGGAAGCGGCTCACACGGACAGTCACTTCGATATGGCTGCGCTGGTGAACGCTGTGCGGGTCGACACGTTATGTGGCCACCTGTCGTCCCACCCGGTCGAATTCGGCCTCCAACTCCACCACTTATTTGCCCACGACCGCCTCACCTTCGAACTTTTTGTTCGTCAACGCCTTCTACATCGGTGGTTGCGTGCAACGTGGGGTGGCACGTCATCCTTTGACCGCCTCTACACCCAGACGTTTGGAACGGTGGCGTCCAAGGTACACATCGTCGAATTATTCGTATCACTGGTGTTCCCCGACGACCACGAAACCCTGACCACGGACACTGCGGACGGCGACGAGCTGTCGCTCTCCCGTTTCGACTTTGAGCTTGTGCTTGCAATCGCCGAAGTGCTATTGGCTGTCCACGGGCCACTTTTCTTCAACTCGGAGGCTGCCCTGATGGCAACCACTGGCGCACTGGTGGGGGTGATTGCATCGCATGGTGCTATGCGATGCTTATCGTCGGACACTATGGCAACGGTGCTGCTGACAACACAACTGGGGTCTGAACTGTGGCGCCTCCTCGAGGTGGTGTATGCTTCGGACGATGACATGCAGCGCATCCTCGCGACACTCTACGACATGCATGAGCTGGGCAAGTGCGACCTTACCAATCTCGGCCAAGTCCAGGTGCATGAGGCCGCCCCCAAATTGGTAGTAAATACCACCTACCAATGCTAAGGTGATCCCTGGCACCCTCCTCGACCCCGCCTCCACCTTCACCCTCACAACATGCAATCTCAACGGCCTCCAGAGCAACGGTCACCTCGTGGCCAAGCGCCTCCGGTCCGCCCCCTCGTGCCTCTACCTACAGGAGACAAAACTCAACAACGCCAAGCAACTGGCGACCTTCCACCACCACCTCGATAATGAGATTGGCGTGGACAACTACCGACTGTTTGTCAACGACCTCCGGTCATCCAGTGCCAATTCCATCCGGCACCGTCAGTGTGGCGTGGCCAGCCTATTCCACTCGTCGATGCCTGGGTTCGCAACCATCCAACACCTCCAACACCTGGATGTACCAGGTCGATACCTAGTGATCCGCTCCACCTGGAGTGGGTTGCCAGTGTACTTCCATAACATCTACGCCCCAGTGGAGTCCCACCTCCGTCGAGACTTCTTTGCGGATCTGCCCCGTGACTTCGAGCCCAACAGCCTCCACCTTGTGGGAGGCGACTTCAACCTGCCCATTGATTCGACCCTTGACACTGCCAGCCCTCACCCACGTCACTCTAGCGGCAAGATTGAATGCGTCGAATGGCTTGCTGCAATCCGTGTTATCGATGCGTGGCGTCTGTTCAACCCTCACGAGCGGCTATACAGTGGCCCTGGGCGTGTCAATCGCCTGGATTATCTGTTCATTGACCATGACCTGGCAACAAACCTGTGCTCCTCGGCGGCGTACCTGCCCAATACCCTAGGCGGCGACCATCTCCGCCACTCGGTGACCTTATCCCACACACAGTCACACTCATCGCCCGGCTACTGGAGGTTGCCGCGGGAGCTGCTCACCGACGCCAACATCCGTCTGGGCATTCAGCAGGAGGCATCCCGCCTCTTGGAGAAAATGACCTCGGCACCTACTGCGAACCACGGTGCCATGTGGTACGGGTGGTTAAAACGCATGAAGGCACAACTTATTA